TTTATCCAAAGGATACAAGTGTGCTGTTTGGAAGGGGCACATGTACCCAATGTTTATAGCAGCCAAAGTATGGAAAGAGCCCAAATGTCCATTGACAGATGAATGGGTGAAGAAGATGTGGTTTATATATACAATGGAATATTACTCGTTGATCAAAAACAATGAAATCTTGCCACTCGCTCCAACATGAATGGAGTGTATTATGCTAAGCGAAATTAGAGAAAGACAAATACCATATGACTTCACTCATATGAGGACTTTAAGAGACAAAACAGATGAACATAAGGGAAGGGAAACAAAAATAATAACAAAAACAGGAAGGCAGACAAAACATAAGAGACTCTTAAATGTAGAGAACAAACTGAAGGTTGCTGGAGGGTTTGTGGGTGGGGGGGTGGGCTATATGGACAAGGGGCATTAAGAAGGGTGCTTGTTGGGGTGAGCACTGGGCGTTATACGCAGGGGATGAATCACTGGGTTCTGCTCCTGAAATCATTATTGCACTATATGCTAACTAACTTGGATGTAAATTAAAAACCAAAAATAAATTAGAATAATAAATAAGAACTGGTGAGTTGAGCTGTCCAAAGCAGAGAGCTCCCTCCCTGATGTGTCCAGTGTGTGCTGTGAGGGGGAACCCCTCAGCCCCCTTAGTGGAGCCTGGACGAGTCACCTCCATGATTTTGTTACGTCAGGGTGCCAAACATTTCCTATGGTAGCCACAGCATGAAAAAGTTGGGAAAGCCTACACTAGAGAAGATTTACCCCACTCACCCATTTGGCCTAAAAGACGGTGGAGACCCAAAAGAATTGAAAGCAGGGACTCAAAGGGGTATTTGTCCACTAGGGTCATAGCAGCCTTATTCCCAAAAGCCAAGGGGTGGGAGTTCCACAAGTGTCCATCAACAGATGAATAGATAAACAACATGTACACGCAGTGGAATATTATTCAGCCTTAAAAAGAACATTCTGACACACGGTACACCATGGATGGACGTTGAAGACATAATGCTGAAAGAAAGAAGTCACAAAAGGACAAATACATGATCCACTTATATGAGGTACCCAGAATAGTCAAGTTCGTAGACACAGAAGTATGGTCGCTAGCGGCTGGAAATGAAGAGTTTTCATTCAGTGGGGACAGGGTTTCAGTTTTGTAAGATAAAAATGTTTTGGAGACAGATGGTGGTAACGGGGCACAACAATGTGAAGGTACCCAGTGCCGCTGAAACGTACACCTGGAAATGCCTACATGGTAAATTTTATGTTATTTACATGTTATAATAATAAAAAATATATATATTAAAGGTGAGGTATGTGACATAAAAAGGTTAAAACTCTCAGGAATGGTTAATGGTCCTCTCAGGACATTATAAACACGAGTTGGAAGAGGGTTGAGGGGCTTTGAGAGCTTTCTTTCCAGAAAGGATACAAACCACATCTTCCCACCTCCACCCCAAGCAGGTTTCAAGGACTGGTGTGAGCTGTGGCTAACCCAGGAGGGGTCTATGGAGAGAAGAATCCCAGAAAAAAGAGTCCCTTCCAATGGAACCATGGCGTGGCTTTGAGAAACAGGCTCCATCAGTGCTCTGTCTGGGGAATCGTCTGCCCTCTAGAGGCCAGTCTGGATAGCAATGAAAGGATTCTTCCAATTTTGCTCCTTTGAAGAGTAGAAGTAAAGACAGAAAGTACAAAGAGGATACGGGGCCTCTGCTGCTGATCAGGGTCCCAAAGACACTTAGAAGCCTCCAATCCTACCTTCTCTGTCAGAATGTGGCCATTTGGAGCCAGAGGACACGAAGTGACCAGCCGCCTTGCCACACCGAGTCACAGCTGTCTCTGGGAACTCATACCTGCTCTGCAGATGCTCAGGCTGAAGAGAAACAGGAGAGAAGAAACTGTTGCCAGAGAACCTACCACCCTGTAGAACAGGTGTGTTTCCAAATCTAGCCAGGGACGCATAATGTGGAGTTCTTCATACTCGATTTTGAAAATAAATGATTTGTTCTAAAATTGGAATGTGGTTGTGGTTGTACCATTCTGTGAATATTCTAAAATTCAGTTTCGGGGTACCTGGGTGGCTCCGTCAGTTAAGCATCTGACTTCGGCTCAGGTCATGATTTTGACGTTTGTGAGTTTCAGCCCTGCTTCGGGCTCTGTACTGATAGCTCGGAGCCTGGAGCCTGCTTCAGATTCTGTGTCTCCCTCTCTTTCTGCCCCTCCCTCACTCACATTCTGTCTCTCTCTCAAAAATAAATAAACATTAAAAAATTTTTAAATAAAATTCAATTTTTCATATACTTCAAAGGGGAGAATTTTACAGCATGTGGATAATATCTCAATAAGGTGTTTTATTAGATAATAGATAAACGGTTGCCCCATGAAATGAGTTAAAATGCCTTTGCCAAAATCTTACAAGCAGAGAGGACATTTCCTGGGTAGTTGGCTTGGTGTTGGCTGCCCGGCATCTGATCCCTATTTAAAACAGCACATTGCATCGGTTCGGAGGCTGAAGGGAACAGATGCTCCATATGGGCGCCACCACCCCTCCCCCCACAGTCCAGGGAGGGAAAGGAGGGGTGAACTGCACTTGGCCAGCAGGCTGCAGTCTCCTAGGACTTTGGTTCTGGAGCAAGGAATACCAGACCCCGAGGAGCAGCCTAGGAGGGCTGTGCTGACCAGCCAGTCCCCGGGCTCCTGGCCGTGGCCTCAATCCCCGCCCAGTGTGGAGATCCATGGTTGCTGCCTGGTTCCAAACAGATCCTTCCCA